TTTATCCTAATGGTTACGAGTACAGCTTGAAAGGCACGTAGACTTTGATTTGTATTCCAACTCTACCAGTTTATTAGCTGTGTGATGTTAGTTTACATTCACTTTAAGTCCCTGTTTCCTCATCTAAAAATGAGCAGAATAATACTTAATCCCATAGGGTTATTGTGAAACCACTTTGCAGAGGCTAAAACCTCCCTTCCTCCCTCTCTTTCTAACAAGTGTAGTGATTACTTTTAAAATTAAACACATAAACACAAACAAACCTAAATAATAAATAAGGGTCTCAGGCACTCTAAAAACAGAACTCAAAAAAAAAAAAAAATCACAATATGGAAAATAACCCCCAATCCTATCAGAGTATAGAGTTTCTTAACAAAAACCACCTTGGTTTTCTGTCAGATTGCAAGTTTATGACTTTTTCATTTTTCAGAGCTAATAAGTATTGTGTAAAGATTTTACCATGTGCTGAAGAATTAGAAATATTCTTGTTTTGGTTTACTTATTTAAACTTTTCATGACATTTATGGCTCAGTTTATACATGTCATTATTTTGTTAAGCCTTACTATTGGAGTTAGTAAACATAAAAAGTTTGTGGGTATCTCATTAGAAGAGAATAGTGTAGAAACTTACGTAACACATCCTACCAGGAGATGTTACAATAAAAATAGAAAAACTGAGAAGTGGCTACATGCCAAAATATTCTTTACTCTTACCCATTACCGAGTTAAAATCTTTGAGCAATGTTGTATGGCTGCTTACATGATGAGTGCCACAAAACAAAGTTAATATAAAGTATTCAGAGAACACTTGCAAAACTAGTGAGTATTATAACAATCCCCAAAGTGCCCAGGGTCAGGATGGATTCTCAGTATACAATCAGAATGCAAACCTACAGATAGGGTTGATAGTACTTCTTTTCTGCAGAGAGTTTGATGGGGCAGAACCTCAATTATCAACCTCACTGCTTCTCTTACCAAGACTCTTAGGAATCCAGTATGATCGTATAGTGGGATGAAAGCTTAGATGTACAAAGAAGCCAGAGCTAGAATCCAGTGCTCCTTCCATGGACACTCTGGCCAGGCAGGTGGAAGCCAAGAATAGAAAGTGGGATATAGATCTAGAGCACTGGAAGAAGGGTCATTTTGTGAAGGGGGAAGAGGGAGGGAACACAGGGCTGGGACTCAGGTTCCAATAAAGTTCCACAAAACTCTGCTACTGAAGGAGCACTGTTGTTGATTTTTTCTTTTGCTTCAGGCTCCAACATGACTGAGCACAGCACTGTTACTGATCCTGTCTTTATCTAAAAAGTGGATATTTTGTTCATCACACATTTTTTGGCACTGATTTTTAAAAAATAGCATTAAAGTATTACCTTGATTACTGAGTTTTCTGGAACCCCTGTAAATTTTGTGCCCACTCTTTCTAGTTCTGGCCCTGAAAAAGAGTGAAAGAGATGCAGGAATAGGACCAAGGACTTCCCTGATTTCACAGATTTTGGAAGGAAGTGAATCACGAGACGGAATCAGCATCCACAGCTGTTCTTGGCTCACCACTCTCCCTCTGCACCACTTCACTGTTCACCCCGGGGACCAAATTGGGCTAGCACCATTGTTACTAATCTCCTTAACCACCTTGGCTAAACTATGTAAAATCTCTTTTCCTTTGTATTCTGAAAAATAGTAGAAATGACAAAGAACTTTTAATAGAAAACAAAGGAAAATAATAAACTGAACACCAAAGCATAAATGGTTAAGTTTAAAGAATGCAAACCTGGCACTCCTCTGGTCTCCCCCTTCATCTCCCCAGTAAATACAGTGTCACCCCTATTTATCAAAAACTTGTTCTGGCATCACTTTTAGCGTATGCAGTGTGATGGATCACTTTTGTGTGGCCTTTCTAGCCATAGTCTTTTAACTCCCACCAAGTGATTGGGCGGGACTGTGTGATAGAGTAATTGTGGTTCACCAAAGGGATTGGTCAGTTTTGCCATCCTGCTGGGTTTGAAATGAGCCATCCCAGAGATGGGAAAGAGAGGATCCCACCACCACCAAGGAAGAGCCAGGAGCAGAGAGTGCATCCTTTGGACCTGGGATCCCTGCACTGAGAGGCTCCTGGAACCAGGAAACCGAGAAGGGAGCAAGCTATAACACTGAAGACAGCGAGAGAAGTGGCTGCAGAGAGCTGGCAACAGAGACCCGGCAACAGGAGACAGTGCAGTGGACTTCCAGGCCCATGGAGCAAGACAGCTGAGTGCCTTTGGGCAGAGGCCGAGGGCAAGGGAGAGGCATGCCTGTGAGCACGGCTGAGAAGAGGCTGTCCCAATGGAAGAACTGTATCCTGAGTGTTTCTGAGCCTGAATTGTAACTGTTACTTCCCTAATGAACCCCATAATTGTGAGTATTGTCTGTGAGTTCTTTGTGGCCTTTGCAATGAACCATTGAACCCAGCAGAGAAGTAGAAAGTGCTGTGTAAGGAACGGTTGGTGTCAGAATTGGTAAAGATGGCAGAGAGAGGAGGCATGTCTTACCTCAGCCTCACAGGAATCAGCCTTGGGCTGTTGATCTTGATTCTCCTTCCCCCTTGGGAAGTTAGAGGAGGTCAGACACTGCCCCCACATTGTTTTTACAGAATACATGCAATTGGTTGTTGATTTTTGGTCAACACTGGGGGAATCTTTGCCCTCGCTCTGATCATCTTGAGTTAAGGGTAGAGTATGTATCAAGGCTGTTCATTCTTAAATACCTCAACTGAAAAGAACAATGGAAACAGAGACAGGTATCAGGACTATTTCTACCATGCCATACTCCACATGCTAACATTTCTTATACAAAGGACAACTAAACACTCAAATCACCAAGTATTTTATTGAACAATTTTTGAAGTTGAGTGAATAAATCTATAACCATTTAATTACAGTAGTAAGGCTGGTTTTTAACTGTTTTTCTGTAACTGTGAGAATCTGTACATGAAAAACAAAGTGTAGAATTTTATTAAATGAGCTCAATCATAAATGATGTGTTGTTTTTCTTCTTTTTAAACAAAATATACAAACAAGAACATTTTAAACAAATATAAATGATAATAGCTTATGTTCGACTTAAATGCACTTGTAGAAAAAAAAAATTATAATCTACCCAGAAGAATCATCTAAGATTTTTCCAATAGTGTCTAATTTAAATAATGAGGGAAGACATTTCATATTTGATCTTTTGTTTGTTTGTAAATTTAATTACAGTGCCTTATTCTGCTAATCCCCAAAGACACTCTTAAATAGGCTATGAAAGGGAATTTGTACAATGTTGTTAGATTTCCCATTTTAAATTGTTGATATAACAATTGCAACATTTTATTTTAGCAAAAATAAGGCTTAATAGTTTATCCCCCAAAATTTTGAAAGTAAAACTTTAATTAAGATACTACCTTAAAACGTAAAAACAACAACAACAAAAAAAACCCACTGCCCTCAAGTGGATTCCAAGTCATAGTGATCCTGTAGGATAGAGTAGAGCCCTGGAGAATAGGTTTTCCAAGGCTGTGAATATTTACAGAAGCAGGCTGCCACCTCCTTCTCCGTGGAGTGGCTGGTGGGTTCAGACCGCTGACCTTTTGGTTAGCAGCAGAGCACTTAACCACTGTGCCCCTGGGGCTCCTGGAAAAAAAAAGATCAACGAAACAAACCCCCAAAACAAGTAAATTGTGAGTCTTGTGAATTTCATACATGGAATTAATTGACAGTAAAAACAAAAAAAATTTAAAGTCATTGAGCTAACAGTCTTTCAATAAATACGAATTAAGAACATATTTCACTATGTGCAGATATGGGAACACCCAGATATCAATATAAGTCAAATTTAGACAAGATAATTTCCTTTTTGGGTAATCCTATCCCTAGTTTCCAAAGGAGCCCTGGTGGTGCAGTGGTTAAAGTGCTGGGTTGTTAACCAAAAGGTTGGAGGTCTGAACCCACCAGCCCCTTCACAGGAGAAAGATGTGGGAGTCTGCTTCCATAAAGATTACAGCCCTGGAAACCCTACCGGGCAGTTCTGCTCTGTCCTGTAGGGTTGATGTGAGTTGGAATGGACTGGACAGCAGTGAGTGGTGGTGGTGATCCCTAATTTCCTTGATTTTTTACTGAGGTGTCTCCCTACCACAGGCTGAACAGGACCAAACCAAATCCTAGCAGAATGACGAGCATTTGTCTATTTGATACAAATATTGCCCTGCTTAGGATGTCATTGGCACAACTGTATTTTAAATGTCACCTTTAAGTAGGTCTTTCTAAGGGACTATACGAAAGAATCAAAGATGTAAAACAGAACTCCAAAGGAAATCAAACCTTGGCTTCTTAGAATTATGTGATGATAAAGACTCAGAAATGAATGTTTTAATTTTAAAATAACATGAACTACGATTATTATTTTATGGTTTCATTTACTACTCAAATGAAAGTACTCATAAAGTAGAAGTCACACTTTTGTAAACATTGAAGCCTAACATGTAAAATTGGTAGCAGTTAATAGCCTCCTCCTTAGTCTCTTTCTCCATATAGACAATGAACCAATTATGTTCGTCCTATTCTGCAAAGCCAAACGATCAATAAAATTGACTACAGATTTAGCTATGATAGCTAAAAGGTTTTTTTTTAATCACTTAAACATAGACAGTTATTTTAATATTTTTGGAGAATTATAGGAATATGAAAAAAGTTTTAAATTTTTGCATTTTTACTATTAGATATTTCTAACACATTAAAAAGTAATTTTCAACCCATCTAAGAATAATGATATGCAGAAAACAATCTTGACAAATTTTTGGTACACAGGCAAATAATTGTGTTTGAGACTGGAATCACTTTTTTAATTTATGTTATTTTCCCTCTAAAGAGAAACCAGGAAAAAGAGAATCCTGTGAAACTAATAAACTACACCAGGTGCTTTTTAACAGTTCCTGTTAGTACAGCAACTTCTAAGCAATCACACTACTGCCATAATGAAGTTCTCTTGGTTGGTGGGTTGGTGCCTCTCCTTCAATCCTCTTCTCCTTCTGCTAGCAGACTCTGCAAAGTTACCTAGAGAAGTATATATGTGGGAGGAATGGGAGAGACAAACACATCATAATATAATATACTATGTAACAAACCAATTTACCCATGCTTAATTTTTTAACAGACAATGAGTTATGAAAAGTTATCAATGTATTTCAGTGCTGGAAGCAACTTTGTATTTTCTTTCCATATAAATGCAACATTTATACACCCCCCCCCTCACTTATCCACACGGTTAGGTTCCAAAGACCAAGTTGTTCTGTGAAATCAGCATTATGTGAAAATGGAGGATGACTGCATCATTACATAATTGTCAAATTACATCATTGTGTAACTGCCAAACCACTGAGAATCATGGCCCTGCCAAGCTGACACATAACCTTAACCATCAAAGCCAGGGTTACTTTTCCCTCATACCTCAGCGTTTGTTACAGCCAGAAATGCATCATTAATGTGCAAAATAGTTGGATAGCAGATTTTTTTACTATTGTAGTAAATCTGAAATGTCAGATAATAAGATAGTCTATAAGTAAGGAGAAGGTATATTTCTTAAAAAGCCAGAATGCATGCTACTAAAGAGATCTTCACATTAAATTATTTTTCATTTAACTATCTTTATTTGCTCAGCAACCTACATTAGCAATCTCACTATTTCTGTTAATATTGTGAATAGACTCTGACAGTAAATTGATTTTTTTTTTTTTTTTTGTGCTTTAGGTGAAAGTTTACAGTGTAAGTTAATTTCTCATACGAAATGTATACACGTATTGTTATATGCCACTAGTTGCAATCCCTGTAATGTGACAGCACATTCCCCTTTCCACCCCAGGTTTCCTGTATCCGTCCAACCAGCTCCTGTCCCTTTCTGCCTTCTCATCCTGCCTCCGGACAGGAGCCACCCATTTAGACTTGTGTATCTGCTTGAATTAAGAAGCACAGTCTTCACAAATATTATTTTATGTTTTATAGTACAGTCTATATCTGAAGAGTTGGCTTCAGGAATGATTTTAGTTCTGGGTTAACAGAGCGTCCAGGGGACATGTCTTCAAGGGTTCCTCCAGTCTCGGTCAGACCATTAAGTCTAGTCTTTTTATGTGGATTTTAGTTCTGCACCTTTTCTCCTGCTCTGTCAGAGACTCTCTGTTGTGTTCCCTGTCAGGGCGGTCATTGGTGGTAGCAGGGCACCATCTGGTTCTGGTCTGAGGCTGATGGAGTCTCTGGTTTATGTGGCCGTTCTGTCTCTTGGGCTAATATTGTGTCTTTGGTGTTCTTCATTCTCCTTTGCTCCAGGTGGGTTGGGACCAATTGATGCATCTTAGATGGCTGCTTGCGAGCTTTTAAGATCCCAGATGCCACTTAACAAAGTGGGATGCAGAACGTTTTCTTAATAAACTTTGTTATGCCAATTGGCCTAGATGTTCCCCGAAACCATGGTCTCCAGACCACATCCCTGCTACTCTGTCCCTCAAAGTGTTTGGTTGTGTTCAGGAAACTTCTTAGCTTTTGGTTTGGTCCAGTCATGCTAACTTCCCCTGTATTGTGTGTTGTCCTTCCCTTTACCTAAGATAATTCTTGTCTACTATTTAGTTAGTGAATTCGCATCTCCCTCCCTCCCCATCCTCATAACCATTAAAGAATGTTTTCTTCTGTGTTTAAACCTTTTTTGAGTTCTTATAATAGCGGTCTTATACAATATCTGCCCATATGTGACTGACTAAATTCGCTCAGCATAATGCCCTCCAGATTCCTCCATATTATAAAATGTTTCATGGATTCATCATTGTTCTTTATCGTTGCGTAGTATTACATTGTGTGGATATACCATAATTTGTTTATCCATTCATCTGTTGATGGGCACCTAGGTTGTTTCCATCTTTTTGCTATTGTGAACGGTGCTGCAGTGAACATGGGTGTGCATACATCTATTTGTGTGATGGCTCTTATTTCTCTAGGATAAATTAAACGAGTGGGATAGCTGGATCGTATGGTACTTCTCTAGCTTTTTAAGGAAGCACCAAATCAGTTTCCAAAGTGGTTGTACCATTTTACATTCACACCAACAGTGTATAGTAAACTGAATTTAAATTATAAGTCATTCGTGGTCCTATGTTCCATTTATCTTAAAAATGATTATAATCAATATGGGACTTCGGAGGTGATTTAAATGTTTTGGAAATAGATAGAGGTGGGGGTTGCACAACATTGTGAATGTCCTAACTGCCACTGAATTGTTTACTTTAAAATGGTTAATTTTATGTTATATAAATTTCACCTCAATAAATATGAAATTTTTTTTGAATGGTTAAATTTTTATGTTATTGTAACTGTAGGTTCTAAGTGATATATCCCTTTCTATTAGTCTCCCATACTTCAGGTGTTTTTTGAGCAAACTTAATACTTTTGATCCCTGATATTTGTACCAGTTAAGACAGTTATTTGAAGTAGGCAAATAGAAAGATATCAGAAATGAAGTCTTATTTCTGAGTATTACATTAAACTGATAAAATATTCAGTGCTAAAACAGATCCCTAAGAGTCTTTCAACACTACAAAACTATTACTAATTAGTACTTAGCAGTCAGTTTTAAATAAATGCTAGTTGCAAAATATAACTACTTAATTTTCATTTAAGAAAAAAATGGATTATTTACAGGAGAAGAATTATGAGTGCTGAGGTTTCCTAGGTATAGGTTGTTTTGGCCCCCTCCTGAGACATCAAGGCAGCAAAAACCTTGTTTCACTTCTGGAAGTTTCCACTTCTTTTTACTTTTCACTTTCCTAACAATCTTGGTGGTTGTTAACTCTAACTAATTTAGTATTAAAAAAGACTCAGCGATATCTCTTCTAGGAACCATTTGTCTCAACTCAGACTGCTTAAGTTTTGATCATAAAAATAAGATTTTTCTTTGCTTATCAGATTGGCAAACATTAAAAATATTGATAATACCCAGTGTGATGGTTAATGTTATGTGTCAGCTTGGCTAGGCTATGATTCTCAATGGTTTGGCAGGCACTATGTAATTGCCTTCCATTTTCTGATCTGATGTGAGCAGCCAATCATTTGAAAGAGGAGTTACCTTGGGGATGTGGCCTGCCTCCAGCATATAAATGGATATTCTGGCAAAGCTCACTCTTTTCTCGACCCTGCACTCTTCTCATCTCCTGACCTCCAGTTCTTGGAATGTAAGCCTGCAGAAGTCTCTGGCCTATGGCTTGACCAGATTTTGTATTTCCCAACCCCTGCAACCCTGGGAGGCAGCAGGAGGCCTCCAGCCTGCTGCCTGACCTGCAGATTTTGGGTTGGTCAGCCCCTGCAACTACATGAACTAGCAGAGGTCTTCAGCCTGTCACCTAACCCACAGATTTGGGACTTGCCAGCCCTCATAATTGTGTGAGCCATTTCCTTGAAGTACATTTCTCTATATATATATTTATATACACTTCACTGGTTTTGCTCCATTAGAGAACCCAGACTAAGACATTCAGTTTTGGCAAGAGTATGGGGAATAGGCATTCTCACGAACTGCTCTTGCAAATGTAAATTGCTGTAGCTTTTCTAGAGAGCAATGTACCGCTAAGTATCAGTGTTTAAAGTATGCAGAAGCAGAGGAGACTTCCAGAACAGTTCAATGAGACATTCCATGGACACCCTCCTTAGTGAAACAACAATAACCGGTGAAAATTATTAAAAAATAAATAAAATTACAGAGTCTCTGGAAATTGTCTTAAGGGCATACTGCATATTATGGGTTGGGTTTGTGTCCCCAGATAAGATAGGTTTATTTAAGTCCTAACTATTGGTACCTGTTTGGAAGTAGTAGCTTTGCAGATAAAATCAGTTAAATTAACATGAAGTCATACTAGAATAGGATGGGCTTTAATCCAGTATGACTGGTGTCCTTATAAAAACAGAGAAGAAACAGAGACATAGAAGAAGGGGGTGACAGCCAAATGAAGTTGGAAACAGAGATTAGAGCTATGCCACCATAAGCCTAGGAACACCTGGGGCTTCCAAGCTTGAAGAGGTCAAGAAGGATCTTCCTCCAGAGGCTTCAGAGGGAACATGGCCCTGCTAACACCTTGATTTCAGACTTACAGCCTCCAGAACTGTGGGAGAACAAATTTCTGTTGTTTTAAGCCACCCAATCTGTGGTACTTTGTTATGGCAACCCTAGGAAACTAATGCACTGCAAATGCATAGTTGAAGGACATTAAAACTGACATAAATAAAATGGAAATACATCCCATGTTAATGGATTAGAAGACTTAGTATTGTTAAGAAAGCAGTACTTCCCATATTAATCTACACATTCAACACAATTCCTATGCAAAGATTCAACACGATCCCTATGCAAATCCCAGTTGGCTCTTTGCAGAAATTGACAAATTGATCTTCAAATTTATATGAAAATGCAAGGGAATAAATATGTATGAATATATGTTTATTGCACCGTTGTTTAAAATAAATAAATACAAATGCATAAATCTACCTAAATATCCATCAGTAGATTCTAGTTATATAAATTAAGGAAATCCACACAATGAAATACTTAGAAGACTTTCAAAATGACTTTCTCCTTATCTACAATTAAATATATCTAAGCAAAGATGTATCTTTGATGACTAAAGTACACCTGATCCAAGACACAGTCTTTTTAATCTCATATGCATGCTAAATTGGACAATGAAAAGACAGAAGAACTGATGTGTTCAAACTGTGGTGTTGGTGAAGAATATTGAATAATATACTACCATAAGAACAAATCAATCAGTCTTAGAAGGAATACAACCAGAATGCTTCTTATAAGTGAGAATGGTGAGACTTCAGCTCACTTACTTTGGATATGTCATCAGGGAAACCAATTGCTAGAAAAGGACATCATGTTTGATAAAGTAGAGGGTCAGAGAAAATGAGGGAAACCCTCACTGAGGTGGATTGACACAACAGCCTCAACGATAGACTCAAACATACCAACATGAAGATGGTGTAGCATCAGGCAATGTTTTATTCTGTCATGCATAAAG